CGGAGGGCCGGCTGCTGGCCTGGCTGGCTGCAAACCCAGGCTAGGCTGCACCCGTGCCCAGCTTTCCCCGAGGGCCAGCGGTGCGACCCGACAGCTGTTGCCCTTGCTGTTGCCGCTGGCGTGCAGGCAGCTGGCGGCGGAGTGTGCTGGCGCCATGTCGCGCCACATCAGCGACTCAGGCATCACCGGCGACCAGCTGGCGGCTGCCTGCAGGGTGCTGGACGGCAGCACAGGTGGGAGAGCGGGCGGCTGGCTGCTGCCCTGGGAGTCTGTGTGGCCATGCTGCGCTGCTGCTAGCAGCGTTGCTGCTGCTGCACCAGACTGTGCCACAGTACACGTTCCTCAGCCCCTGTCTTTCCTCGTCTTATGGCGCAGCCGGCAAAATCAAGGCGGCGTCGGAGCGTGCCAGCCTGGCGGCGGTCATCGCCAGCCTGGCGGAGGCCCCCGGCCGAGGCCCCAGCGTGGCCCGCGTGGCGGCGCAGGCCGTGGAGTTCATCTGCGGGTGAGCGGGGCGGCTCTGGGTTGCATGTTTTGGTGCAACGTTTGGGGAGTCACAGCTCCATTCAGCCCAAGCACACGCGGGCTTGCTGATGGTGTCAAAGTGTTGCGCCTGCCTTGAGCGTGTTGCATGGCACAGGCAAAATGTTGATCCTGGCACTGTTATTGGTACTGCTGTACTGCAGGTACTACAAGGAGGAGCTGAGCGAGGACGTCAAGGCGGCGCTGGCGGCGGCGCTGGGCGCCTGGCTGCCGCGCTGCTCGGGCATGCCTGAGCCCGCCCTGGCCCGGATGACAGGTGGGCGCGGCGCTCGCTTTCCAGAGAGGGAGGGAGAGGGGTGGGGAGCGTGCTGGAGCATGCGGCGGCGGCTGGCCTGCTGGAGGGCCTCTGCGGGCCCCGCCTCCCCGCCGCCCTCGCATCACAGCCGGGACCCGCTGCCCCGCCTGCCGCCTGCAGAGAGCCTGAAAGAGAAGGAAGCGCTGCGCCGCGCCCACCTGCGCGCGCTGGCGGCGGCGCTGCGCCAGAACCAGGAAGCGCGGGGGCAGGTGCGGCGCAGCCTTGGGGGCAGGTCAGGGGTTGGGGCGCAGCAAGGAATGGGCAGCAGGGGTCGGCTGATGGGTCCTGCAGCGGGCAGCCAGAGGCTGGCTGCTCACCCCTTTCGCCTGCTTGCTTGCTGACCCTCTCTGCTCAGCTGGCTGCTCAGCCCTGCTCACCCTTGCCCTGCCCATGCCGGCCCTCTGCCGCGTGCAGGCCGCCGCGCTGGCTGCGCCGCTGGGCAAGCTGGTGCTGGAGGGGTGCGCCAAGGCGGCCGCCCGCCTGGACGGCCTGCTGGCGCTGACGGCTGCCGCCTACATCGCGGCGGCAGACCTGCAGGCCGACGAGGCGCTGGCGGCAGACAAGGTGCGGCGCGTGTGTGTGGGACAGAGCACAGGCGAGGGGCGTGCGGTGTCGGCATCGGAGCCGCTCTGCTGCCGGCTGGCGGCTGCCTGTCAGCTTGAACATAAGCTCTTGCACCCCTGCCCTCGGGCCCCGCCTGCTGCCGCAGGTATGGGAGGCCGCCTGCGGCGCCGACAGCCCGCTGCTGGCGCCCGGTACCGCCGCCAGGCTGGCGGCAGAGGAGGCCGGCGGGGCGGCGGAGGCGGCAGAGGTGCTGCTGACTCAGGTGACAGGGGGCAGGCCCTGCCGGGCAGCCAGGGGGGTGCACTGGTGCTTCGTCCTGCACCACTGCTCAGCCCATGGCTGCTGCGGCACAGGCAGATCCCCTCCCCTCATCTGCACGCCGTCCCTGCCTCTTGCACCCCATCCTGCAGCACGCGCGCCACCTGGGCGGGGAGAGCAGCGCCGCCGCCGCCGCCGCCGCTCGCACCCTGGCCGTGCTGCTGCTGCACGCCGCGCCGGCGCCGCGGGCGGCGGCCGCGGCCGCCGCCGCCGCCGTCTCCGGCACGTCTACAGAGCTTGCCTCCACCCTGGTGGCAGGCCTGCAGCACTGGGCCAGCCACCCCGCAGCTCCCGAGGTGGCGGCGGTGCTGGGGGATGCCGCCCCGCAGCCGCGGTTTGCCGCCGCGGCCGTGGCGGCGGCGTCCGCGGCCGGCGCCGTGCCGCTGTCCACCGCGCTGGTCAGCAGCCTGCTGCTGCTGGCGCACCACCCCACGGTGGCTGGCGGCGGCGGCGGCGGCAGCGAGGCCTGGGCGGCAGCCGCCCGGAAGCTGGGCCCCGTGGCCGACGTGTTGGCGGCGGCGCCTGCTGACGTGGCGGCAGCGCTCGTCTCCAGCCGCACTGCAGGGGCCGCCTCGGCAGACCCAGCGCAGCAGGCAGCGGCCCGCGGCGCCCTGCGGGCGGCCATGGCCCTGGCGGCGCTGCCGCTGTTCCCCGCGGTGCTCGCTGAGCTGGAGCCGCTGCTCGCCACGTCAGCGCACGACGCGCTCAGCGCGCGCGACACCAAAATCTTCTTCACCCCGCCAGGTGGGTGCGTGGGTGGCCACCAGCAGGGGCGGCAGCGCGTATTGCCGTCAGCGCTGCTCCCTAGGAGCATGCGGCGCGAGTGGGAGGGCCTCTGTGTCAGTGTGGAACAGGCGGAGCGCTGTGCTGTGCTGCGCTGTGCTGTGATGTGTCGTGCCGCGCCGTGCTGCGCCGTGCCGTGCCGTGCTGCCGAGCGTCTCACGGCGTCCCGCCCTGCCCCGCCTGCTGCCCCTGCCCTGCCCCGCCGCAGACAAGCTGTCGTTTGAGAACGAGGACGGCACGATCATGGCCGAAGAGATCTTCCAGCGCCAGCTGCTCACCTACCGACCCATCCCGCCCCCCACCCACCTCCCAGACTGCCCCCAGGAGCAGCAGCAGCAGCCGCTGGGGCAGGGCCAGCAGGCGGCCGCCGCCGAGGCCGCCCCCGTGGCAGCGCCGGCGGCCAAGCCGGGCGCGGCCGGCAAGGCCGGCGGCACCCCGGCCCGTGGCGCGGGCGGCCGCCCCACCGCCGGCGGCAAGGCCGGGGGGCCCGCCAAGAGCAACGCGGCGGCCGAGGCGAGGGCGCGGCAGCTGGGAGGCGAGGCCGAGGTACGGGCCAGGGTGAAGCGGTACGGGACGAGCTCCGCCGCGGGCTGGCGGCGCT